AATCTCAAAATGAAAAGTGTAGTAACAGCAGTTGCAGTTACTGTACTTTTCATACATAGGTTCAAACGAGTGCAGCCTAATGTCTGTAGAATCCTAAGCCGCTATGGGTGTGTGTGTGTGGTTAAGTTGTTTGGCACGTACCCCCAAGGTACTGTGTTCGAGCCTCGACGCCGTCAGACATGGAATGACCCTGGGAAAGTCATTAACGGTTGTTTGCCTCGGATCACCCGTCCAATAGCATGCGGAGTACGTTGTGACATACACCAGCCCTTGTGGCTAGTACGTGGTTAGCCAGTGTGTACGGGGAGCTCAAAAGATCGGGCGAAAGAACTATGAGTCAGGCTGGCCTTCTGTTCAGAGCTACAGCTAGTATTAGTTGTAGGGAAGATATCGGGCTTACGAAACTGTCTTCGGACAGCACCCTGTACCGCAAGGTAGCCGAAAGGTGGGGTATTCTTCCTTCCTTCCTGTAGAACCCTATGTCTCGAGCTGTAGTGTATGGCTCCGCAACAACATAGAAACAGTTTTTCACATTAAGTAGTAATAGCCAGAACTTTGACCAAGTATAGATTCTGTCTAAATCTGCATTAATGACGGCAGCTACAACTGTGATGCCATTACTAAGTAACGGCATCACAGCTGCAAAGTAGCTTTGATATAATGATATATCATTCGCAAATGGTCGTTAAATTTCAGCCCTCGCCCCTGAGAAAACGTTTTTCTTTCATTCTCCTCCTTCCTCAAAAAAGGTATGGAAACTATTTTGAGTTTATGACATATCATATATGTATTCATCGTCCCTCATGCTGTTCTTATGCTGTAAAAAATTCATCATCTGTTAATAAAAGCGAGAAAGGGGTAATACTTGAAGTACGTTTCTATATAAGCACGGTCGAAAAAAGTGAATTAATAATTGAAAAGTTTCCATTGTTGGACCATTGTAATGGTATTTCATGCTACCTCAGTTAAACATCAGTTAAGAACAGTTATTTTTAATGAAATTAAACAGTGTTGAAAGTCATCAACCATCAAAGATTCTAATTTAATTTTACAACCGCTTTTTCAATTATGTTATCAAGCGATTTTTTCATATTCATATATATTTATTTTTTAAGTGCACTAAACGCACATATTCAGTTCGGAGAATTGTGACTAATCTTGTCTTTCTTCCCTGTGAACGATCGTGACTAGTAAGAGGATGGATGGCTACCTCCCAAGATCGAACCACAAGCGTGGTGTTTTTTACTATTATCTCAACGTTTGTTGAGCGAATGTTACTACTATCGGCGCCAAAATATAAGCCAGGTTGTCGTTTCTGTAATAACTCGAACTAAACTATCCTTTTTATAGTAGATCTCGAAATAAATTTTAAAAAACTCCAAGGTTTTCTAAAAGGATTTCTGAAAAACCTATTAACAAAAATGTATTTTTCGAATTTTTGGATCTTATAATGACGTTGAGCGGCCTAACTTTAACCATGTCTGACGGCGCCGAGGCTCGAACACAGTACCTTGGGGGTACGTACCAAACAACTTAACCACACACCCATAGCGGCTTAGGATTCTACAGACATTAGGCTGCACTCGTTTGAACCTATGTATGAAAAGTACAGTAACTGCAACTGCTGTTACTACACTTTTCATTTTGAGATTATTGCCCATTAATCGTCGGAACATATATATGCTACAAAATTCTATTACTATTTAGAATTGCATTCACGCTATAGTTTTGGTTTCATATAACTCCCCTACATACAGCACACTTTTGGCGCTGATACCATCATGCTATCGTTCGTTTGCTCTATTTGCTTTATCACTCCAGATTTCCCCACCGTCGTTCATTTCGTGAGATGGAAACGACACATAGTATCGCTCCCACCACCAAGTGACTCAGTCTACTTTCTTTCGTTCTTTTTCTTTCTTTCATCTTCTCCCGTCCGTCGCTTGCGTGAGATGGAAACGACAATTAGCATCGCTCCATCAAGCGACTCACATTATATTTTTTTGTTTTATTCTTCTTCCTCTCGTCCGTCCATTTCATGAGATGCACATCACTCGCCATAGCTCTCCATCGCTCCACATCACTTCCCAATCGCTCGCCGCCGCTTTTCAATCGTTCGCCACGTTTTTTATTTTCTCGCCACGCTTTTCATTCGCTTCCGAATCGCTGGCCGTCGCTATGCAACCGCTTCCCAATCGCTCGCCGCCGCTTTCCAATCGCAGTTTTCTGTAAAAATACTCTCGAAATGTTGACATGGGATATATAAATAAATTTTGTCCATACATTAATGCATGTTTGGCAGAAAAAAGATTAATAAATTAAGTATCAAAATATAGACAAATAGCGTCGCTTCATCAAGCGACACATTATATTTTTTCTTCTTCCACCCATTCGTCAATTTTATGAGATGCACATCGCTACCCATCACTCTACCATGCGACTCACATTATATTTTTTTCGTTTTATTCTTCTTCCTCTCGTCCGTCCATTTCATGAGATGCACATCACTCGCCATCGCTCGCCACAGCTTCACATCGCTCCACATCACTCCACAAATCTCCAAGTCCAAGTTTGTCAGAAAAAATGAGGTGGGCGAGTTCAAGTCGAGTGGACTTGCCCACCTCTGCATATAATGAGATATTCTAAATTTTTCTGTGATTATAGGACAACTATCCTAAAAAGATAAAGAATATCTCATTGAATGTTAGAAATCAAAAACCGATGAACAAGAAAACAAAAACAATTTCATTAAATGTTTTAATTGTAGTACAAATGAAATTAACTAATGCATAAATAATTATAAAATAACATGGCTTGGAAATCTAACTTCTCCCAATTAGTACTTAGAAAACAAATATCTCAGAAATACAACTCGAACTCGAGTCATCGGCTCGGACACATTCATCTCTGTTAAACATAATACATTCATAACTAGTGGGAATCATTTCTTACTGTTACAGTAAGCTGTTTGTTGCATTTCATTCAAGCATATAGACCATTGTCTTCAAGCCCATGACGATTAATATGTTTATTTGTTGGAATCTAAGGTGCCAGTAATTTAAAGTTCAACACCTTTCCTTGACGCGATGTTTTTCGGCTTTTTCAGTGTTATCTATTTTTTTCTGCATAGAAACATGCTATAAGCTTCGGAGAGGTCTCATTTTACTCAGAATTCGATGCTCTTTCAGTCTAGACCATTTTAAAAAAGGTGTTTTCAGAGGGACTTTTCAAAGACTTTCCAGAGATCTGATTTTCTAGAACCGCTTTGGAAATCTCTGAGTTTTCTAGAGGTAATTTATTTGGATTCAGCTTCAGATTAAACCTGAGAACACATATTTTCAGCCGCCTAGAGCGATATGTGGCCAAGATATTTGCTGATGACTTGAAGGATTTGTCGAAAATGTCGCTACTTTTGAAAGAAACTTGAATATCTCAGCAACGAAAACAAAATTTGGAAAAAGCGCTCTATAGTTTTGTTGCGCATGTCAAGGCGGTTCTTTTGACTCATGAACGAAGTATCTATCTCTTCACACAAAAAACTAGATAGGTTTGCAAACTGAGATCCTCCGGGTTTGAGGAGTGTTTATTTAGGACTCTGCCAAAATCTTCGTTTTGGGGTTAGAGCCTTAAAGGACACTTTTCTAGGTTCAGTTTCTCATGGAGAATCTGAAAAACTTTGCTTCAAAGTTCTACGAGCTCTACGAGGTATCTGACTGACCGCCTCTCATGCAAGATTATAGACTCGAATTAATTGTGAATTTTATTTTCAAGACTTTCCTGCTTATTTTCTGTTTGCAGATTTTGTTAGGTCTGTAACATATCAAAGTTTTGAGTTCAAACGACATTTGCACAAGTTTTAAGTGAAAGATTCAAAGTTATAAAATTACAAAAAAATCACTAATTTAATTTTTCTTACGAAGATATTTTATACCTCTGCCTGTTAATTGACATGTTGTGTTCAGTTTTTTCCGCTCTTTGGAACGGTGTGTCACTCAAAGTATTTGGCAGAATTGTTAATACACTGTAACAAAAAGAACCGAAAACTATAGATTTTTTGAAAAAGTTGAGATAGCTCTTGAGAAATACTAAATATCTCAGAGACCAAAGCGTTTCATACTTTTTTTTCAGATATCTAATTTCGTATGCAAAATCGAATTAGACCACTTTGAAATAAATCTATTTTCATCACTGAACAGATATTTTGGCTATATCCTCCATTTTCTCATGACCGCTCTTTTAACGTCGTGATTTGAGCGAGATATATTAAATATCAGAATAATTATTGTATTATCTATCAGAAGATGTCTAGATTGATTGTTCCGACTAATTACGTGTAAGAAACCCAACGTTCGAATATTATGGTAAAATCATTTGGATAGAGTATTTCATATTTGAGACAAGAGCATAGGCATCTCATTTATCGAACAAACCAGAATGTTACATCATCTCTTATTTGATACGAATACTTTCGTATTATAGATAAGAAAGCGGTTGCTGCACCCCATGTATAAAAAGGATCAGAATTCGATCCACAACCAGCTCCCGTATCACCATGATAATTTTCATGTATATGTCCATATAGATTCCATTCCTTGCGCCACATTAAATCAGTTTGGTTAATTAACGAATTACGAGCATATTGTATAATTTCTGACAGAGCATAATTTGAATGTGATAATGCAGTATAAACAATATAAGAATGTGGTCCCCAAACTCTTCCACGCCAATAATTTTGATCTGAATAAGCGGAATCTGAACGTGAAATACTTGGCAAAGGCTGTTCATGGCAATCAGAAGAAACACAAAAATGTGAAGAATTAGTTAAATATTGTACAATCATTTTTTCAGCTTGTTTGACACTTGGTAGACCAATTAACAGTGGAAAGAAAGAAGTTGGAGAAATATGAATATTAAATTCTCCTGTGTCAACAGCTCGATTTAGATAAAGACTTGCGTTCAAATTCCATAATTCACTTTCAATTGCTGGAACAATCATACTTAACCAGTATTGCAAAGTTTTATATTCTTCAACCAAACTAAGTGACGAATATTTTATTAATTGTATTAATGCTTCAGCTTCAGCTGCAAAAAGACTATTCATACCAATATCAAATTGCAGCATTTTATGCATTTTGTTGTCGAAGTCGTCATAATCATACATGGGAGAATTATCCAAACCAGATTCAAAACGTGCAGCTTGTAAATTATTTACCTCAATATCACCGTTAATAGGTAAATTATCAGGATCAGAACCTAATACAAGTAAGCTAATATTTGGATGAATTTTACTAGTCATCATACGATGTTTCCACATCCAAACGAGATTTGCATATAGTTCTGGATAAATTAAATCAATAAACCAAGTCAAATTTTCAGTTTTTTGAATTTTGACTAACTGCAATAACATTATACTTCCAATTGGTGGCTCAGTACGATCGCGACTTATTCTAGTTCCTGATTTATAATTTGGCAATAAACCAGTTGAATCAATATTACGTGTACGAGATTTTGCCACTTGAATAAAAGTTTGTAATGCAACATCTAATCCATCAATATCAAATGATCGAATTAGACTAGTTAGAAAACTATCCCATAAAAACATAACATAACCGAAACCAAAATCCCACCTTCGACTAACCACATTGATGACACCTTCGTATACAGTATAAATTGTATTCCACGCAATAACATTATGTATCGCACGATAATTTTCACTTAATTCTGGACCGTACTTTTGGTAATTTTGCAGTTCATCAGCTCTTGCGTTTGCTATTGATCGTTGTATATCAATTAAATTTCGAAAAGTATTTGAGCTGAAACCAATCGCCCCTCCTGTTAAGCTAAAAGCAGCTATTTCACTGTCTGAAGAGAATAAATCTTGAATTTTGTGTTTTTGTTGATGAACGGATGATGAACTATTGTTTGATGTTGTAGTATGTTTCACGTCAAATTTTGAAATTTTTATTTGGGGTTGTATAGCAAAGAATTGAATGTTTGACAGACCAATACCAGTACAATTGACAAAATTACAATAATTAGCGGATATGCATACACCTTGTCGATAAAATAGATAATTGGTATTAACAAGTACAAAATAGTTTGATAAATTTACTGCCTGACTGTCATTATTTACTACTTGTACAGCAATCAATAAATCTCGTTTTGAAACAACAGTTGTTTCAATTGTTAATAATAATTCATTCCATTCGATATGCATTTCAGTATATTGGCTACCCATATAAGAATGTAAACCGGCAAAAACATTTTGACGATGTGTAGTATTATTCTCCTTACTGAAAGTGAAGAATCATACAAATGAAATTGTCTGTCTGCGTGTCCGCAAGATGGCAGCCGAAATTACGGAAGATTTCATGAAAGTGATAAATGGTGCTATTAACATACCGTGCAAAAGTAGTGAAACAAAAGACAACGATTATAACTCCGCCCAGGATCATCGTATAAAGTTAATTTTTTTTTGCTTGAAACAGCAAATATCTTATACTTTGATGTAAGGTGATCATGCTAAGGAAACGTTTCAAAATGTATTCCGGTCGGTCGGTCGCTATTCCTCTATTCCGCTGTTCCCCTATTCCTCAATTCCGCTATTCCTCTATTCCTCGACTATTCCTCTCTTATTCCTCTGTCATTCCTCTATTCCCCAATTATTTCTCTATTATAGAATTTAAATTCTAGTTTATTTTACTTTATTTTGTATAGTTCGGTTTCTTTGATTGTATTGTTGATACATACATACATCGGCATATACTTCCAATGTGTTCGTTTTTTTAACAGACATTTTTCTGTTTAAAGAATAAAATCAAAAAGTAACAAATTTTATATTTTCATCAAATGTTCGTCTTTTTTATATTCAAGGAGGCGAATGCTTACTGTAAACTTATCTCGTATTGCACCAACTTCGCGAACTAACATTACACTAATTAGAATAGACCCATTTTCATCTTTTATACTAGTTTAAAGTGTACACTATGCTGGTCTATTTTTTAAAAAAGGATCCCTTTTAGTCTTTGAGAAATATGACTGTGAATATGGTTAATTATTGTTCAAAAAAGCAAGTTTTTCCGTGGGCGAGTTCTAGAGACTTATTTTGTGTGTCTCGAAACTTGCTTTTTTAAACAATAATTAACCATATTCACAGTCATATTTCTCAAAGACTAAAAGGGATCCTTAAAAAGTGTACAGCTCATTTCTCTATAAACTTTTATTTACTTTAACTTAAAATAATAGAACGGAACGTTTTTATAGGTCAGATAGTGTGATTATATGAATTGCATCTATTTTTCACTAATTTTTACTATGTTTTTTCCGATTTTTTCAAAGTTATAAACAGGTTTATAAGACTTCAAAATTATTTATAATCGTTTGATCATAATCTACTTGTGTCTAATAACAATGGCCTATCTGAGCTGCAACAACAGAAAATATCCTTCTTGACAGTGTTCAGGTTCTTCTTTCAATTGAATCATTTTATCATCTGTTGTTTGAGCTCCGAGTAGAAAGAGAAATCCATTCTTCTACAAAATACTGCAAAAGTAAACTCGGTTTGGCTGTAAACAATATTTCTAAAATGCTTTTTTGACAAGGAATACGTCATCTAGAGAAATAACGTCCCATACTCAAAAAATGTGTCAATAGCTGGCAGAAAGTACCATCTAACCGAAAGATTAAGCATTATGAAATTTCGTGTTTATGCAGAATCGACAGAGGCTGTCAAGAACGATCTAGCGGTGAATCATGTTTTAGAAACTAAATCTTCGTTTGTATAGGAAAAATCAATCAGTAAAAAAAATTAGAGGGAAATAAATGTAATTCATATAATCACACTACGTGACCTATAAAAACGTTCAGTTCTATTATTTTAAGTTAAAGTAGATAGAAATTTATAGAAAATTGAACTGCGCATCTTTTTTAAAAAATCAAGATTTTATTATTTTTCTGTGCTGACGTGAGATATATGCAAAATAAAAAATATTGCAAATATTCTGGGACATTCAGGGCCGTAATAGGAAGTCAACTTTAGGGGGTGTAAAAAATTCTTAAAAAGCGAAAAACTTTTTTGGAGTAGTGTAAGAAACAAAATTTTCGCTGTGCGACCAAAAATAACGAAAAAGTTTTCCCTGGGGACATTCGGTACTTTTTGGCATGTTGCAAAGCGTTTTTTGGTATCTTTAAGTGTTTAAATTTTATTACGATGGGCTTACACCAAATTATAAGATATTTCAGACAAGTTTTATACATCAGACTTAGCTCTTTGAAATAAAAAAATCTAACTTTGTACAATGCAACTGTAGTCATTGACATTTGTTCCATTAACTTTGCATCGTATGTCCCCGACGTCACTTAAAAACGATAGTGAATATATAAAAAATGAATCCGCAACAGTTCACCTTCCATAAGAGTTTTAAGAGAAAAGCGTTTAGGATGCAGAAACTCAAATCCCACTTATAAGCAGCAACATGTAGACTTTGATTCTTGAATTAACGATAGTGTACTATAGTAAATGTTTTTTCAAGAAATATGACAGATGACGCCATAATGAACGCGACCTAGCTAAAACCGATAGAACGTGGCACTTTAGTCGTTATTTACATAATAACGCTCGGGATATATAGTTTGACATGAGATTCCGACAATATATGAGAGCGTCACCTGCAACAGTTATTTCTTGCAGTTATTTTCTAGTACGGGATCAGAAAAATTATATTTGAGTTGTCGATATATTAGAGAAATTGAGAAGTTGCAAAATTTTAACTTGGGAAAAGGTTCAAAAAACAGCTAGAAATGGTTTTTCCATTGGGTTGTTTGGTGGTCTAAAGATCTAGGCATGTTGCTCAGGGAGGAAGGAGGATAGAGGTATAAAGAATTATATTCTTATTCAGTTCGAAATTGTGTTCGGATGCTATGTGCATGATCACATGGACACTACCGTTTAGTATTTCATGCACTATTTAGTAGGCAACCACCATATCGATCAAAAAAACGAAACCACCTCCAAACAACCATCATACACATTTTATATATATGTGTTTAGATGTGGTATGTTGTGTGGTGTTAAATTAGCAAACAATTACACAAGAACTTTTTTTATAATTGTATTACACAACTTCAATCATTGTGCAGAATATAGGAAAGAACAGCGAGGTTGATTTTTGCAGTTCGTCTGCAAAGATCAAGTTCGTGTGTTCGATCCTAGCTTCGTGCAAGGATTGATTTTGTGTTTTCATAAGTTTAAGTTTCAGAATGATATAATGGGAATTTATATTCTCGATTTCGTTCTAGTTCAAGATTCCAGGCTTAAACCAACTTTTTTCAAGTTATAATCTCGTAACCTATGGATATATTCTAAAGAGATCTTTGAGTTTGTGAGTGGGAAACGGCAGTTAACCGCTTTTAGAGAGATACCTTTGTGCTGGCTCTTTAGTCCAATCCAACGACTGTCTGGTCTTAGTAGAGGAAGGCGTAGTCAGTTATATTTTAGACTTGATAAAGAAAGTAATTCAGTAAAGTGATCGAGTGAAACAGCATGATGAATATTACCTGTTATCATTAGAATCAACATTTTCCACATGAAAATCTGTCCAAACAGTACGAGTTTCTGAATTGTATAACGATAAACTAACTGCGAAGCCGTCTGGCATAAACACATGTGTAGTCATTGATGATAGCGAATATGTGTTCCAACCACTATGTAACAATTGATCAGATAAGAAATGGCGCCGTTGTTCCGGATAACTAGTACAGCCATTTAATACACAGCTTGGAATTAATTCTGATTCACTTTGTGTATTTTTTTTATCATTGATTCGTTTCCAGTGAACCTGTATAACTAGTTTTGTAGCGGAAATCTCCTTATTCCAGTGAATATACTCCATTCTTACAGGAACACTCAATTCTGTAGATAATGGTAAACTTATTGCAGTATAATTATCAATTGGACATAGAATCTGATCGTCAATCCAGAGTAGTAAATTTGAATACTCTAACGGATAATAACAGTAAAACGTATAATTACCGGTGATTGGAACTGTTAGTACACCGGTCCAGCGTAATGAAAATTCTGTTGAATTTAAGTATTTGTTAGGTATTTGACAACTAGGGTCACTAATAGCATTTGTACCATTAATACCTAGTTGTGAACAATATGTAACTACATTTGTCTGATTAGTTTCTTGGCTGAATCCTGTATTTGAAAACCATTCTAAATATAATCTAAAATTTGACGGCGGCAAGCCAATATCAGCTGACAGATTTGCAACACATGGACCAGTTGCCGTTGGACTCGGAGGAGAAAATGGCAATACATTCACAATAGTTGTCAATGAATTATAATAACATAATAATATTTCGAATAGAAAAAGTATCGCAGTAAAGAAAAAGGTCCTATTTATATTTCTTTTGGTAATAAAATAGGTACGAAACTGTCCATCGACTTCCTTGTTCATCGTATTATGCGAAAAAAATCAACCGAACAAATACGCGTAAAAGAAGAGGTAAAGGTAGTAAAAAATAGAAAGAAAAACGTTGTATGTTTTCTGTTCTGATAAAAAAAATGCGTTTTGAAACTTGAAAGAACGGTAAAAACGAAGAAAAAAAATTCTTGTTAATGTACGCAGCGGTTTATTTTTCTTGTTTGATTATGATGAACAAAAAGAGAAATGCATATTTAACGTCAGAACATGTGCATCTTTGATAAGAATATAATCAGATTCAGTTGTGGAGGAACGAAGACACTTAAGTCTACAAAATATTTCTTTTCTTTTATGAGAAATTTTTTCTTCATTTTTTCCTAACTATTTTTGGTACTTCTACAGATCGATCACACCCCGACAGAACAAACAAAAAAAGTATAGGTTAAAAAATATATTATGATCGCGAATAATAGATGACTCTAGTAATCGGACCTATAATAGATAAGACTGACAGATCCAATTCATAAGGATCAGTCAGAATTATGAAATAAAGCGAGACATAATTTGTTCTAAAATTAAATTAAATTATAATTTGAGCACCTAAAGTAATGATATACAGTAAATAGTGTAATGAGGGAAGAACGCAGTACATTCTTTAACTCGTTAAAAATGTCTATTTTTCCGTTACCACCTGTTGATAAGATTGCACAATGGGCATATAAGCGGAAGTTTGGCTCCGAATCATATATTTTCTCGAGCAGAAAAATGGCAGATATCTGATGCTGAAAAAAGTCATGCTTTGTCTTAAAACGTATGGATAAAAAACCCGTAGTTCTTGCCAGAAAACCCCTTTTCATCGCTACGTTACCAATCTATCAACTTCCTAAGTTTTCTGAACTCTAATAATGTTCAAATTTACGTGAAACGTTCATCTCGGTATCTTGCATCTATAGCGCATGTGCTTTTATGCGGTTTTCTGACTAAACGGAGATATAGGATTTCCAAAAACCCTCGGATTTTGAGGTATTCAAAAATAAGGTGATATTCGGAATCAGCGTAAAAAATTGCAAAGAACAGTGTATAAGTCAAAAATTTTGGGCAGACATGTTTGGATTTATTCAAAACCCTGCCTATGAAAAGCCTTAAAACAGAACTTTCTCAGGTACTCAAGGACGATTTCAATGATCTTTTGCTAACAGGTACTGTGTATAGTGTCCTAGTAAAGAGCCCAAAACGATTTGGGTTCATATTGTTTTCGGCGAAAGTTATTTAACTTTTTTGAGTTGTTTCTTCACAGCCTTAAAAGACTCAATATTTTAGTTTCAAAAAGTTTTCTTTCCTTTCATATGTATTCAAAACGTTTTCTTATACATGGTCTGATAGAAGAAAGCCTTCTTTTCGAAATGAGACGTCTCCCAGAATTTTCCGATGAGTTTTAGTGGAGATATAAGCATCACAGAAAATGTCCTAAAACAAGTGACCTGTGTACTAAATACGTTTTACAAAAGTCGCCTTTCTTCGAACTGATCGAGGTGAGTGGGAAGAACCAGATTGATACACTAGGATCTTGTTGATTTTCGAAGGCATTGATCTTCTACATCGGCAGTTTAAACGATCATGGTGCTATTCTCATCTTTCTATCCAACTGGAATCTACTTGAAACTTTACTCAAATACTTTCAGCAACATCCAAGATTCGGTAAGTTTACAATATCCGAAGAGAAAAAATTTGCCATTGTTTACCACACCGGTTTCTCTATACGCCACATGCAAACAGTTATGTTATGCTTGCCTTGCTCGTTCGAGAACAGAAATTCCGAATCCAGTTTGACGAATCCGATTCACCAAAGCAGATTCATTTTTCCCACATTTCAGTCAATTAAATATTCTTTTTGTTCGACAAGAACCGATATTAAAGGTGAATATCGAAGAAATGAGAAAATCGATCATGTCTTGTATGAAAAAATTCTCGGGCAACATAGTGCGATGCATAGATGTAATCGGTAGGATTTTTTGTCTACCGATACCGGTGACGGTTGTGAAGCCCTCTACTGGTTCTACTGTTATCGAGCGGACTACCAGAAAAAAACTCCACTAATGTCTACCCGCAGGTTTATCGATAACAAGCAGCCGAATCTTCACATAAAGTACCCTAAACACAAACAAAAAACTAGAAAGCAATTGTGCTGCGCATAAGTTGTGATGTCGACAGACTCTGTCGCTGCTGACAGCAGTCAAAAGTCAACCTGCAGTATCCAGAGGCTATCCTGCCTTTTTTGAGAAGTTTTCTACGTAGTTCGAAACATTAGAAAAATGACCCTTGTACCACATGCAATTTACAGGACAGTGCCAAGTGTACGGTTAATTGTCTAAATTCTTTCTTTTCTTTGTTAGAGCACTGCAAGTGCGCACTATATATAGAGTAACCACGCTACTACTATCAAAGCAGATGCTGTTTTATTTTGAATTACGCTCATAAAGATAATAACTAACGCTCGAAATAGCGACCGATCTGAAGCGGTTGTTTATAAGGTCTCTTCGCTTGCCCGTTATAACCATGTGCATTTAAAATCTTATTCTAATACTTTAATCTCAATTTCAATAATAATAATTAAAAGAGATTAATTCTTTTTCATTCGATTCGCTTTGGCTATCTCTTCGTGCAGATCAATCAAAATCAAAAGCTTTGCAAACGTTTACAATCAAGATCACTACTACAGCAGAATATCACCGATTTGTTTTAATTTAACATCTAACAGGAGTACGAGAACAGAATAGGTCACAGACAATCGGTGATTGCACTCAGAAACAAATTCAACCCTAAAAATTGGGCGAAAGTGTACCTGACCGGTGGTGCTGGCTTTATTTCATGCACTGGAGGTTGGAGGTGTCAATAGCCCTTGGTGACACCTCTTAGTGGTGTCAATAGGCATTGCAGACACCCTCTGTAGATGTCAGCAGCTCTTGCTGACATCCTTTGATGGTGCAAATAGCCATTGATGACACCTCTGATCGTGTCACTGGGCCTAGTTGACATCGCACGGTGCAGTCAGAAACAGCTAAGACCTCATTCTCATTTATTTATTATCTTTTCTTCTACATAATTTCAACACACATATTATCAAGTGCAAATTTTGCTGCATAAGATGATGGTACTTGTGATTGTGGCCGTCCTGATGAAGTCGATATTTCAACCAAATCAATTTCTTTCCAATTTAATTCAATCAGGTGTGGCCCATTGTTTGGAAATGTTAATGATTTTGTATATTTATGCAGACCACGTAATTTTCCATAAATAATGCCGGTAAATTGATAACCGGCATTCCAAACATTCGATACCCAAAATGAATACAAATTTCCCGGAGATGAAAACATTAACTTTGTAAGTTTTCCATTTGTTACAGCAACATATTCACCAGATTTCAAAACAGCGGAGCTGATATTCGTACCATTTCGTTGTTCAAAATCAGTTACATTTAAATAGTTAAATAATTCCCAATAGATTTTGCCATAATAACTTGGGATAAAGGATTCACTTCGAGAAGCATCAGGAATATCATCGAATGTAAGCAACTGAGCAGATGATGGACATGACGGATCTAAAGACGAAATTGCTGAATTGCTACTTGAGAGACAGATTATTTGGTCCAAGATGCTTTCAGAAACTGAATACCGGGGCCTCGTTTGCCAACATATAGACTATTAGATATCTTCTGTTCTCTATTAGATCTGTCTACTATTAGATATCTTCGCAAGAGAAAACATGCAAAAGTGAGTATGTGTGAGTAAAATGATCATTTTATCACTTTTTGCGCATTTGTGTTCATTTTACGCTCCTTTGTGAGCCACAGCGACTTCTAAGTGAATCCATCCCAAGCATAATCAAAATATTTGATTTTTATATTCTTCCATAAGTTTGTCTTTTGGACGATAAAGAAGCCTAAGCCAATATTTATATTCATGAACTTTTTTCTTCTTTTTATGTTGTGATTTGTTCAGCGAGAAACGCTGTACACATAGCATATAGCTTCTGAAAACCTTAATGAGATCAGGTTATAAAAATGAGAGACTGTCTCTCAATGCGGGAGATGTGTCCTCTCACCTTGCTTCTTTCTCTGTTGTGGTTTTTTCTATAAGACAGAAGAGTTTCTGCAAAACTGCTTCAGTAGGATGTGAATGAGCCCGGGGCCTCTTCGTTTCCTTTGTCAAGAAAACTATCTCTGGTTTTATGCAAAAATGTTTCAGAATTAGCGATGAAAACAAATACATCAAACTAGGCAAGTTCATCCTACTCTTTCCTAATTGTTGATTGTGAGAAATAAAAACAAGAATCTTGCCTGATTTATAGCAAAATAAACTTCTTTGAAATGAAAAGAAATAAGAATCTTCCAAGAACTTTCACAAGAAAGTGTATTTATACACGAGGAACGAAAAAAGATGGCCGCTTGATTCAAAGTAAGGCGCAGCTGACTCAAAAATCAAGTGGAAAAGCTTTTGACTTTCCAAACATATATTCTGATTTGTCGGACGCTGCTGATCACGAATCAGATCGTATTTCTTCGATTTGACCAAGTATTCATGCAGAAAACCTCAAAATACTGTGAAGGCGTCGAAAACCTCGAAAAACCGATTTTTCAGAAAATTCTCGATTATCTCCTGATCTTTTCAATTTTCGATCTCACCGATGCGATTTTCGGATTCAGCAACGCGAAGATGATGAGCTCATAACTTAGTGGTATTTTCACCTAGGAGTCATTGCACGAGAAAGACGACTGTTTCTCACAGAAGCGTGCTCAATAACTATTTCAGATTTTTTGCTAAATAGTCTCATCGTGTAGAGCATGGTCAAAAACCTGTTAATCCAGATTTGTAGGCTTCCCGAACTTTTCGGTCTGTAGATATGAAATTTTTTTTACTGGAGTAAAGTTCAAGAAGTTATGCGCGTGAAAAACCTACATTTCGTTTTTCTCGTGAATGAGAAGAGATGAAACTTCGGGATAGGCAGTACTTAATGCCTACAATATAATGACATACAAATATTACGTATACCTCTTACCCCGTACATTACATCAAGATCGAAACGGAGCTTCATGGAGTACTTTTGTGAGCGATCGATCTCGTTATTATGACCATGAGTTGAAGTCGGACTACTTGCAGTTGATAATACTCTCAGTGTACTATCTGGAATCACCGTCAAAAGTTTGGGATAAGCAAATTTGTTACAGAAAGTTTTGAGACCAAAGTCGAAGTAAACGGTGGGCATAAGCATTCGCTTTTCTGTCTTAATGAAAACCTATATATTTTTCAAAGAATACCATTGAATAGTCCGTGAAATTCTCTACAAACTCAGCTGGTCAGAAAACCTAGACAGGTGGAGCCAGTCATTAAAGATACGCAAAAGAAGCATTTGAGTGCTATACGTGCACCACAGTATAGCACTCAAACGCTTAATCATAAGAACTCCTTTGTTGCTGATTTTTTATCAAAAACGGGAACTAATCTGATACTGTGTTGAATAGCCCGAAGATTTTTCTATCAAACGAAATGCATACCGCTATTTTACGAGGAAACTTAATAGCAGGGTTTCTGGAAAACCTGAAGGTTAGAAAACTATGTCTTTGACCTTTGGCCAGAAACTTTTGCAGTTCATATAGCCTGATAGAGCTCAGCATTCTGAGGAAAGTAAGATCTTTGTCGGCTGTCCATAACGCTTTTTCACTAGAATATTTTGGTAACTTTCACCCTCCTTTGAAGCCATTCATACATCGACTGCAGTTGGTGGAAAAAGCGTTATGGTTGGTACGTTTTCCACGCGCATAACTTCTCGAACTTTACTCCAGTCGAAAAAATTTCATATCTACAGACCGAATGCACAATCAATGACCATGCACATAGCATGCACTGAAAATGGCCATTAAATGTACGTAAAGTATTGCATGGCATGTAAATGTCAGCGTGAAATGCACTGTCTATCCACTCATTATGCATTGAGATACTTTGAAAGTCCAGCGAAAATACACTGAGTTATACACTTCCCATGTAACTGACATGTGCGTAAACGCGGCATTTTAGCGCATAGTCCATTCATTTCCAGTACACAGCATGAAAATGGCACAAATACAGCTACAGATAGTGAATGGCAAATGAATGGTCAAAAGTCATTCACTTGCAGTATACACATCTTGTGTGCAGTGTAATCCAAAGATTTTTCTCACATTTTCAGTCCCGGCCTGTTCCGAGGCCCGTCCGCAAAACTCACCAGCTGTTGCTGTCGTTGATGATAATGTTGTGCTTGTTGATGATAATGCTGTGCTTATTGATGATAATCTTGTGCTTGTTGTTGATGATGATGTTGTGGGTGTTGTCGGCGACGACGTTTCTTCATCTAAAAGTATTATTTACTCTTCTAGCTACTGTTGTTTCTCCATAAAAGATTACTTACATTTATCCCAATCACATTGTTGATGTTCTTGAGACCAACTCAAATGTAATGGACATTCTTTTAGATAAGCAATGCCGTTAGCACAATGATAAAATTGATGGCGATTATTAACACTTCCAAATAAGCCATTTTGCTGTGGACAGATGAATGCTGTCGTACTGCCAAATACATATCTACTTACAACAAGTAATATAATGAGTAACATGACCATTTTCTTGTTGATACTGACTGAATAATCGAAGAAGAAAGAACAATCGAATATCTCACTTCACTTTTTTCTTATTGTAGTGTAACTAGATACTAATCCTAGCCTTGATGCTATATCATTAGCTGAAATTTTCCTTTTCTATTGTATGAACAAAAAATCAATTAACGACTAATATTGAAGTACCAAAATAACCCACTGACATGCTGTTTTGATTTTAACAGGAATAATTTCGATGTTTCTGTTGTCCTTTGCAACTACTTTATAAAATAGATGGTTGATGATTTTGCTGGTATCGGACCTTTCATAAATTCAATGCTATTTCATAAAAAATAGTCGCAGAGAGCTCAGAGACGTCGCATTTTGTTCAGAAATGTTTCCTTCATATGACAGAGCTATTTGTGAAGAATTTCTACATCGAATTCGGGGACTTTATCTGTACGGTTTGGATTTTCGAGAGACCCTGGTTTCAGAAGTTTCGCTGAAACCTTTATACATACCATATTCGCTGGGACATTCTATCAGCTGTACAAAATCTTTTTTCAAATTTATTCTATGGTCGACAAGAAAAACAAAGAAGAATGGTGGGCGAATAATTTTGTCGACCCACTGTAGGTTCAACTGTTTTCCTTCTTATCAAATTCTCGTGATCAAACACCACTGCTACAACTACAATATACTATCACCTTCTTATCATACATGCTTTTCAATATATCAGCTAGTCTCTAAACATATCCGTGACTAACAAACATCATGTTTTCATGACGTTCATAGTTTTCCACTTCTCATAGGATCATTCTGAGCAAAGAACAAAAATGGGCCGATTCTTTAGCTTATATGCACCCATCCTTTGGGCTCGATCGGACGTGTACTCCGCATTTGGTAATAAGATGAAAAAGAGGTGGGGTATAACCTTAACGGCTATTGAAGAAGATGAATATGGGCTGATAAATATTGGCACGACAAATAACAGATTTGATACAATTAATTGTTGATCCGCCCATATTCATGCATTCTTTCTCACTCTTGTCATTTACGTCTGAGACAGTTAAAAGGATAGTTTTATCAGAATCAGCTGAGCATTTTTGAGTCTTTGTCCTTCCTGCTTTCTTTAGTTATACTGTGTTTGACAGCGGTTGAATAGTCAGAATTGTAACGTAAAAAATGAGTTTGCGGTGGTTGTTTTTCCGTGCCAGCTCAAATGAAATGGTTCATTTATTTTCTCTTTTTTAATCAATACATCTGAATATGGTTTCGTCTCATTCGTTTCAAATTCAGTGTGATTATTGCAGCTTACACGCTGAATTTGACGGTAAATCGTTGCCCAACTCAAAAAATAAGTATAAACTGGAATGCTTTGTCGAAATTGTTGAGATATTCCTGCGAATTTTGTTTTTGAATATTTTCAGAATTATTAGAATATCGTCAATATATCTTCCCATGAATATTCTTTTTTGAACATGTTTTAAATTCTTTTCTAAATATACGTCGATAAATAAATCAGCTGGAGTTTTTGACTGGGGATATCGGGTTTCCAAAGTTTTGTTTCTAAATTCTTCCTTCAACTGCAAAATACATATTTATCGTACAAAAGCTGACAAGTTTTGAACAAGGGGCTATTATTAGAAAAATTTATGTCCGTTCTCCATTCATCATAAAAACTTGGTTCTTGCATAGCTGGATATAGAAATGTTTGGAGAATATTTACTACGGGAAAATGTGCAAAAATTTGTTCTTTCTTGTTATTGACTAATCAGAGCTAATTAATGTTAACTTAGCCTACTCTATCGGCTTACAGTTTCATTTACACAATAACGACTCAACGAAAAAAATCAAGCAATACCGCATCTGGTAAGAAGTTTCACAGGCTACAAGAGTAAATACCAGACCTACTGAGGAGTTAAAAATGAATTCTAATAATTTTAAGCTCGCCTACCATGTAGCCCGTGAAAGTCTGTGAGATACGGTACTTCTTGGTGTTTTTTGTTGAGTTGCTATTTTCTAAAGGGGACTGTAAGCTAGTAGAGTAGGCTAAATTAACCGTAATCAGTAGTCCTCATGAATTCTTCTGCCAAAGGAAGAACAACGAGTCAAAGTTTATAAACGGAAATGGTTTGAAACCTGAAAATTTCACTACAAGTAAAATATAAGCCACGTTCAGTTATTTGTGACAGCTTTCGTCAAGGTTATTAATGCAGCTGAATCGCAAAGGACCCGTGAATCGTCTATGAACGTTACTTGTCAGTTCATTTGTAGTCGGTATAAAGAAGCCTTATTATCGTTTCATTCTTATTACATCTGTAAATAAAGAAAAGGAACTCGTGATTACTGGAAATCTCGATCTAATATGAAAGCAAACAAGACTTACATTCAACATGGCAAAATTCGTTTGGCGTCGAATCTGCGAAAAAGTATTCACGTCCTAAACGCTAGTAAACGCTGACTATGAGCCCCTGTCGTGAAACAGGGGGAAATTGCTGAGAATATGGAAATAAAATGATTCAACGGCGAAAAACAGAATGGCAAAGTGCACCGCCGCAATTACATTTACAAAACGAAGAGTTACGAAAAAAATCTTTTTGTTATTTTTGCAGTTTGACGGAATTTCTAAACTTTTTATTTTCTTATCATGTAGCAACTAAATATCAAGACAATAGTAAGAAAACAAGAAAATGATGTGTAGGTGTGTTCGTGATGTTCAAAACAAGTATGAACAAATACTATTCTCGAGCGGAAATTGAACCACAAATCAAGATGACGAGATTACATATATCAGCTTTTGCCTAGATTTTATGTTTCACGCTTTAGTTGTGTTATGATGATTCCATCTTGACAGATGACATTATCAGGTACTGCAATAAATATGGAGTTTCTCGGCTTTGAATCTACAGCTTGAGATATGTGTCCTTTTCCATTAGTATCTTCGACGAACAAGATTGAACCGGGTGGAAGTATTCGTGACTAAAAAAAAGAGAATGTCATCCGTCAGTGTGAAAGTAAAACTGTATGAATTTTTGCTGAGCAACTTACTTCTCCATCACTAACTGTAACTTTTACACTCGCATCCAGATTAATGATAAACTGTCTTCTTGGTGCATTATGTAAATCAAAATTGTAATCACCTGGAGTATATCGAAAAAATATATTTGTAGAGCCAATCGCTTCTGAAATAAATCCAATTACACCTTGATCGTTTAACGGTGCGGTAACTTCATCAAAATGTGATTCTCCTTTATCATCTGAATAAAGTCGAGTGACTTTCGCCGTTGCCATTGCGGAAGAAAAATTGAACATTAGTCTAAAAATCACAACACTTTAACAAAAACTATAAATTTCTTTCAGATCGTCTGTCCGTCGCTGCTTCTCAAGTAATTGGCTCACGAGGAAACCGCTCCAACTGTCCGATCGCTTTTTTCACGAAAGCTAGTGGACAATAGGTAATCAAGTGTGCTGAATCCGAATATGATAGTGGTTTGGGCGTCTAGGCCTCGACAGACCGTTTTTCTGGAAAATTAGTTTTTCAGATACTCTGAAAGATAACCAAAACCTTTCTTTAAAAGCCAGTATTGCAGCTCGCACATTTCTGATTAAAATGAGACATCTCCCAGCTTGACACGACCTTTCTTTGCAAAGTTACAGAATTTATAAACGCCCTACATGCTGTCGGCTCAAAGCTACACAAATAAGAAATTAATTTAGGGGTTTTCTTGTAAATTCTATAACTTTGCAAAGAAAGGTCGTGTCGAGCTGGGAGATGTCTCATTTTAATCAGAAATGTGCGGACTACAATTATGTCTCATTAAGAAAGGTTTTGATTACCAAAGCAACTTCCTTACCTAGGTGAAGTCAGTCTTATTTATCGATGGCATACGAAAAAAACTTTCAAAATTTTCAGAAATATTATGACAAATGTAAAAAATAGAAGCAAGACACACTGAAGGTGCGAAAGTAATGATTTTCTTTTCCTTTCTGTTTTGTTGTCTTATTCACGTTATATACAGTGTGTACCCACTTAAACCGTGCGTTATCTTATCACTTATGTTCGATACATATGTATATTTGTTTCATATATATGGTGAAGTTTATGTTAAAGCATCTTCGTTTCATATAGTTTACATGCTGACGTGTGGTCGAATAAAAGAGAAAAGTAAACAGACAAGGAAAGCCTGTTTTAACCTCTTGAATGCCGCCGTAAAGCATCTATAAATAACACGAGGGAAATTCTATATGATGTGTATGCCGTTTCGTTCAATCGATTTAACGAAAAAAAAATTGCCAGAGGAACAAATGCCACGAAAACAACAGAACGCAAAGAAAGACATTTAATCGTTTTTTTACATATGCATGCCTTTGGACGCGTACTACGCGTTATTATTTTAACGTGCTTAAATACTATTGTAACGTGAATAAGAAACCGTTATAGAAAAGAAAAAAAAGAAAAGAAAAGCACAATTTTTTCCAGTTCTATTGTGGACAGAAGGGTATCAGATCCAAAGTATGAAAATCAGAAAAAACTGAAGAACAAATTTATAATCACAAAACCAAAACCCCTGGTAGAAAAACGAACAGAAACAAGGGAGAAAAAATTACAAAAATCAGAATTTTTCTGCCAAAAGCAGGCGATCGATACCTTTGACTGTAATTATGTTTTATTTCGCAAAAAAATTTCATTATACAAACTCACGTAATCCTGATTAACACACGTTTACATCTCAATTTTTGGTCCTAACAAACACTGTCAACAATTAGTTCTGGGCCGAGTGTCTGACTTCAGATAAATTGAAAATATAAAACGAGCCGAATTGAAGTACGAAAATGTAAAGATGAATAAAGGAAAATGAACAATACTATATGCACATATTATTAGATAATGGAACGGCAAAACTGAAACGAAACAACAAAATGGCTGAACGTAATTTATTGTCTTTCCGTCGTCTTCCTTTTCCTCCACTATCTAATAATATGTGCATATAGTATTGATTCTCATTCTGTTTTATTCGTCTTTACATTTTCGTACTTCAAGGTAGCTCATTGTATATTTTCAATTTGCCTGAATAATAGTCACTGATGTCAGCCCAATTTATTCGCTTTGTAGCCGATATTACAGGCTATTCGCTTATGATCAGTCAAAAAATTCTGTAACGCTGAAAATTTAGCAGAGAGGCTGATTAAATACTTTTTAAATGCAAACCGCGAACGACGGCTATAAGAAGAATTTGAGTCATATCAAAATAGCCAGTAGGACAAAATATAATCATCAAGTGCTCCAACATAAAGGTAGGGGCCGTTAAAGTGAAAAGCAGCCTGTAAAGACGATGAGTCATCGGCCTTTAGCTGCCGACTATAAGATCCTGTCGATATCGACACTTCTCAGCCTCACTTTTTTCAATAATCAAAAAAAGAGTATTTTGAACAATTTAACTAATTAACTATAAGCTTTCTAACACATAATCAACTGTCTTGAATTCGTGCTGTTTTTCTTTATAACTAACTCATACATAAATTTCGGAATTAATGACGCTTCTAGACAGGAGGTTGAAGGGTAAAATCACGATTTCACTACCTCCCGAAACCACTGATAAGACCCCTGACAAGGTCGAAATCAGTACTGGGCGTCTGATTTAAGGAAAAACCAATGTCTTTCCTTTCTCTCTTTTATCTCACCTTAAATTATCAATTATCCAGTAAAAAACAGTATTATTCTGATTATTGATTTTATTTATGAAGCTCATTAAAAGTAAAGATTTCAGTTTGATATACTTATCATTCTTATACCATTTGTAGCTCGAACTCTTATCGCCTGGGATAGCGCTTGTCTATTCGTGTGTTCTGTAAAATTTTAGAAATTGCCATAATTCTGTAGCCAAGGGGGAAAAAGCAGCTCCACATACCACCAGGTGCCACCGGGAACCCAATGGAACCAGGCGGAACCGAGTGGAGCCGAGTGGAACCCAATGGAGCCGAGTGGAACCCAATGGAGCTAAGTGGAACTCAGTGGAGCGGAGTGGAACCCAGTGGAGCCCAGTGGAACCCGGTGGAACCGAGTGGAGCTGTAAATTAAAACAAGCTCTGACTGCGAAATCCAAGCAGAAAAATAATGTTGACTATCGCGCGATATAGCGAGCTAACACGATACATCACTAGATATTTTTTTAAGTTTTGTATTTCACGTTTTTCTCAGTTAATTTTCAAGATTGAGTAAAGACTCTTGAAAATGATCTAAGTTTGGATCGAAAGCTCGAGTGTTAAATAAATAAATTCAGAAGAATTTTAT